CATTGAGAATATATCACATGTGCAATCAGATAACATTCAAGTTATTCTGTAAAGATGCTTCAGGGGTCATAAATGGGACTGGACCGTGGTCAGTGGGCCACAGGTTTATTGAATGAACAAACTAATGAATAGCGTACTTAAAATGACCAGTTTCACAAAAGTCTATTTTAAAACACCACTTGTGGCTCTGTTCAATCCATTTCTCCAGCAGCAGGGAGACAAAAGCTCTGAAAACCTGGGCCCGTTCACCAAGACTGCTGTCTGTTCTGCTTTTGTCCACATCTTCCTCTTCCGCGTCCACTTCGGAAGAGTTAGGGGTTTTCCATCATTCTGAACTTGAAACTGTTTAATTGTAACATGTGCCCAAAAAATAATGAAAAAGAAAGTTGTTGTGTTTTTTTGTTTTGGTTTGGTTTTGGGTTTTGTTTTTGTTTTTGTTTTCTGCTAGGTAGCACAGTTCTGCACTTGACCTGTGTTGGAGTTTGAGTATAATCATTCACAATTTTATTTTTGTAGGATTAACATTTTCCTACAATAATAACTTATGTTCATAGTGATTTCCTATGCCGGAAACACTGATTACATCCGTCATTCACTCCTTTGCGGGTATTTGTATTGTAGGGATATTCTGAGGTTGCTGAAATTCTTGTACCCAAACCCTAAATTCAGACGCATGCTCCGGATCATCACAGGACTCGGCCACATTCATGTGACTTCCACCCTCTGAAGCGGTACTCCCAGCTCCTTTTTCTAAAATATTAACCATTTTTCTTAGAAATGACCATTGCTCCTTTCCCCCAAGGCTCACCCTCCCTGGGGCTGGAGGTGAAAATAAGAGAAGTGAAGAGTCACCGGATCTTAGACCGGGAGCCCTGCCCCGCTGGGGTGAAGTAGGAATTCCTCAGGAGGAGGAGAAGCAGGGACTGGCAATTGGGTATGGCAGCAAGAAGAGAAAGTAAGACGCAGTGAACTTTTGAGAGTCTCTAAGACAGCTACTAGCCAAGGTTGAGAAAACGTGCAGTTGCTGTGCTGGGACCCTGCACACCCAGCCGTGGGCCTGGCCCCCCAGCTGCGCTACCGCCTCGCCCCGGCATCCCTGAAGACTCTATCCCCACCCCATTTCAGTTGTAGCTATTATTGAATTTTATCATGCGTTTCTTACAAACCTGCGTGTACTCCTTGGCCTTCCCTGCTGAAATATAAGTCCTTAAAGTTAGGAAGTATTATGAACATGGTAAGTATTTGTATCCCCAGCACAAAAGGAACAACACTTAATATGTTCTAAAAATTTTTTTTAATAAATAAGTGTGTAGTAAAGTATTTAGCTTTGCCCAAAAAGAAGTGTTGACCTTTGGCCTCAGCTGTGGGAGGTCATCTCTCAGCCCTTGGAAGGTCATGCTTGATAGAGATATGTTTTCCCCGGGGGCTTTGAGCCGGCCAGATGGTAATACTGTGATGAGGGGCAGGGGCTTTGGGCCACACACATCAGCTGGACCTCCAGAGGGGAAGGAGCCTGAGATTGGCCATACAGAAGTTCAGCCACCCTGACGTGATGGCCCTCAACGAGGCCTCTGGACATCAAGGCTGGGGGCTCCCCTAGCTGACAAGGGGATATGGGGAAAGTCACCCCATCCCAACTCCATGGGGAGGACAAAGGAAGCTCCACACTTACTACTTTCCTGGACTCTGTCCCCTACACCTGCCCCCTCCCTCCGTGGATCCCAATCTGTGTTCTTTTCCTGTAATAAAATGAAACTATGAACAAAACAATATTCAGTGAGCTCTTGGGTCCTTCTAGAGAATTATCAAAACTGGGGGGTGGTCTTGGAGACCCCTGACTTACAGCTGGTGTCTGAGAGGAAGTGGTCTTGTGGGGACTGTCGCTCCAAACCCCACCGTCGGCTAACCTCGAAGCAAGGGATAGGAAAATCTAATTCAGAGTAATTATTCAGTCTTTACAAAGTCTTCCATCTGGTTATCCTCAGACATAGAAGAAAAACTGGAAAGGAAAAGTAGAATTCAATTGGTGTGTTGGTTTGAAGCTTTGATTCGGTTTTCATTTAAATTTAGGAATAGTCTTGGGCGCCTGGGTGGCTCGGTTGGTTAAGCGTCTGCCATTGGCTCAGGTCATGATCCAGGGTCCTGGGATCGAGTCTCGCATCGGGCTCCCTGCTCGGCGGGAAGCCTGCTTCTCCCTCTCCCACTCCCCCTGCTTGTGTTCCTGCTCTCGCTGTGTCTCTCTCTGTCAAATAGTTAAATAACAATCTTTAAAAAAAATAAAATCCTTAAATTTAGGAATAGGCTTGTAAATAAAGCATACACCATAAAAACTTCTCTGTGAGAACAGAGAAGCTTCCTTAATGGGAAGAGCATTGAAGAAATAGTAATAGTGATTGAAAATAGAGTTTCTGGGGTTAATAAGATTTAATGAGACAAGATCCCTGAGGGAGAAGCTCAAATATTATAACTTTAAAAGACAGGAAGTAAAGAACAATTCAGTGTTTTAGAAATAAGGAAGATAAGTATGTACAAAGAAAAAGAAGCAGAATTTTAAGTTCTGTTATTTTTATTTCCTATATTTATAAAGGAAAACATGTAGTTATTAATGTTTGTGTTATCTATTGAGTTAGGATATCTATTATTTAGAAAGTTTTTGGTATAAGCTGAAATCTGCAGTTACAGGGTAGCTTTGAAAGTCTGTCAAAAGTCCTCAGTGTGTCGTGAGAAACACATTTGAGCAGCTTGCATCCCTGAGGAGTTAGTTGCCAGCTTTTCTGCGTGTCCCCGTGTGCCGACAGCGGTCTCAGGAATGAGGCAGGCGGCCTCCAGGTGGCCCTCACCTGGAGCTGGCCGTACCGTGCCCCCGAGGAGCCGGCCACAGGGAGGCTACACTGGCAAGTCCTCGTCCATAGAAGGCATCACTCTGGGGGTGCCCACTGGGACATTCCCACAGTCTGGAGGCTTGGAAGACTCTCCAAAGGTCCCTTCTTAAGAAACAAATAGACAGGTGAACCTGCCTGATGCAGAGATGGGTGATACGTGGGTTGGCGGTCCAGCTGGAAGGGAAAACTCTGAGTCAAATCACCTGAAATATCAGGTAAATCAATGGCCCTGGTGGGCTTCTAGAGACGCGGGCCTTTTCTGACGCAGGAGTGAACTGTGGCCAATCGGGAGGCAGCAGAACAATGCGGTCACGACCCGGGCACTGGTTGGAATCTGGGCTGGGAGGGTACTGCTTCTGCCATTTCCTGGCCTGTGACCTTGAGCAAATTACCGAACCTCTCTGGGCCTGCTCTTCTTCATCCATAACAGAGCTTAAAATTGTACCTACTTCATTTCATTGCTGCGTGGTTCACCGTGATAACATGGGTGAGCGCGTGGTGGTGCTGGACACCAGACAAACATGCAGCAAACCTTAGGGGCTATTACTGCTGAGACATTTCTAGGTCTAAAGTCAGGTCTCAGAAGGGAAGGCATCAGAGCATCCTAGAACTGATGATTGGCACAACAGCGAAGCGCTATGTTAGGAGCAAAAGGAATTTTGCTGAAATCACATGGAGATGAACAATGACAACTGCAAATGGATCCGGCACCCATGGTGCCCCAGCTGTGGTGGGAAGGACTTTACCTGTAGGACCTCGACACTCATCATGACCCTGCAAGGAGGTGCTCTCATCTTCATTTCTCACTCAACAGGCTGGTACACAGATGTTCCTTTGCCTCCCCCAAATCACACTGCTGCTAAGTGGAGAAACCAGAGTTAGAATGAAAATATATTTGACTCCAGAGCTCAAACCACAGTAAACAGAACCGAGATAAGTGAAGCTCAACAGTGAGTCAGGACCCAGATGAGTGAGGCTCAACAGTGGGTCAGGACCCATGTGAGTGAAGGTCAACAGTGGGTCAGGACCCAGGTGAGTGAAGGTCAACAGTGGGTCAGGGCCCAGGTGAGTGAGGCTCAACAGTGGGTCAGGGCCCAGGTGAGTGAGGCTCAACAGTGGGTCAGGACCCAGGTGAGTGAAGGTCAACAGTGGGTCAGGGCCCAGGTGAGTGAA